GTTTTTCAAGTCAGTGCTTTGGCTTTGTATATTTTATATGTTTAACAAATATTAAAGAAATAGATATTATATTTTATAGGTTACTTATCTGGTGTGATATGGTGATTAGTATTAAGATTTTTACCATTTAGTTCAGTAGTGAATACAATTGAGGTGGGGGGAGGAGCTGGGCATCAAGGGAAATATATTTTAATATTTGCCTATTTGTCCCAGAAGAAGTTGGAAATCAGTTTAATTTGCTCAGTGAGAATAACAGTGTGGGAACCTCAGTGACATTAAAAGACATAAAAAGCTATTTTTAAATAATTATGGCACAACAAAACATCATTTCAGCTATAAACTCTTTCAGAAGCAAGTATGGAGGAAAAAGACATGGAAACCAACATAGAGGTAAACCAATTAATGTAGATCACCAAAATTGATGAGTAAATATTTAAAAGATAATCCTAATCATTCACAAATGTCTTTTTTAATCTGTAGGAAACTGATGATCAAGGTTTACCTGATGTTTATTATGAATGCAACGACTCTTTGGATTTTAAAGGTAAGCCTCATAGAGTATTGTTCATACTGAAGGCAATATATTCATATTCCTGGGTCGGCTTTCGAGGTGCTTTCTCAGACTTAACGTGGAATTCTTCGCTGTCAATAAAATTTTTGTTCCAACGCAGAGTACAGCGGACACTAATGTTTTTGCAATTCTTTATGGTGTGAAACTCAAAGTAACGTCAGTATTTCCATGCAATAAATGCTCCATAGTCCTGCTCTTTCCTGGACTCCATGTTCTCCCTCGTCAATCTACACATGTGGCTCTTACCACTGACGTCACACTGCGACGTCACTGTAATGAAGCACTCCCACAAATAAATTCACGGATTAGTAACGCAGCCTATCTGAAAGAAAGTAACAGTAGTAACAGTAACCCCTTACTTTACTCATTACTTGATAAAAGTAAACCGATTATAGTAATGCATTACTTTCAACGCATTACTGCCCACCAGTGGTGGCGACAGTCCATGAATGTCAAACACGCCTCTAGTCACTAGAGGGCGGTATTGTAGCTCATTTTAACAATGTATTTCATTAACATGAAGATTGTATCCAGAATGCTGCTGCCAGCAACTCAGAGAGTGGTTTGTACAGATACATAAATAAATAAATTGAGAAACACTGCTTTAATCCAACACCTTAGTGAACAGGTGGCACTTAACATCCCTAACCACCAGGGCACCACTGCCCCGCTATATCAATATCAGTTGATATCGGAATCAGAAATTGTTTGGACAATATTGGCATATCGGCAAAAGGTTAATATCGGACATCCCTAATTGTTATTGTTTTTTTTCCCAAAACCAAGCAAAACTAGTCCGATCAAACAAGTAAACAAGTATTTCTGAATAAAATAAATGTGTCACACACAATGAGGTATGTATTGACTGTGTACTTGAGCAATGATGTCTTTTTTTTTCAAGTCAGTTCTACTCACACTGGCTTTGTATAAGTTTTCTCTCCAAAATACTGACCATGTGGAACAGAC